ATTTTATATTTCAGATATCAGTTGTATAATAATATAATAAAAAAAAGTGTTTTTGTCATATATATTAGAGAAGATACAAAAAAATTCTAGGCGGTAATAGTAGTTTAAAGACGTAAAGACGTAAAGTCGTAAAGCAACTATTGTAGAAAATTTAGAATGAGTATTAACGAAAAAAATAAGGTAATGGTTATCCAAAAGAATTAAAATATCTCTATACATATAACGATAATAAATAGCAATATTTTCGAGTAGTTAAATCATTAAAAATGCCTTGGTTACTGGATTATGGAGAATTGTTCAAGATACAGAAAAACAAATAAAGAAGTTATAAATAGACCAAATACAGAAAAACAATTATTAAAAACGATCAAAATGGGAAAACACTATATCCTAAAGAAACATAACCCATATGCTTGATTGTTTGAAATCAAAATGTGTACAAAACTTATGTCATATCAAAACATATTTCAAGTGAAATTCTAAAAACTTTACCAATGATGCACGTCAAATCAAATTCTCCACACTAATAAAAACATACAAATGTAAAACGACTTCAAAAACTAGAAGACCTAATCTAATCTTATTGATGTTAGCCATCAAACTAAATTACAGATCATGTATACACTTTCTAATCAATATAACAAATTTTAGATCGAAATAAAAATCTAAATCATCTTTTGGCAAAATGCGGTTTACCTGTTATAGGAAATAGGGTTGGCAATAATTAAGTTCTGTCCTCACAGGCTAGATCCTGTCCAGAGCGTCCTTTTTTGTTTTTATTTTTACATAAAATTCAAAGAGTTGTCAGAGAAAGGTGAAATGGGCGATTTCTCTATAAAGAAGGAGTTCAAACGCAGTTGAGGATGATAAAAGTTTGCAACCGTGTAGCCCCATATATTTAAATTTATACTGAATATTTGAAAAATCATATCTAATATTAATAATTAGCGCGTCGAGCCTAGTAGGCCCATGACTTTATTGACCATTCTTCTCCATCCCTTCTTGTCCACTGCTTTCATCCTCCAATTTGCGACGTTGAGTTCTTTAAATTATCTTCTACATCCACATGGGTCGACACCTTCTCTGATTTTCTCGTTATTATACTTGACAGTAGCATTTTCGGTAGTCTATCCTCTGGTATCCTCTGTATGTGTCCTAGCCATCTTAGACGTTGGGTTTTTATTACTCTTAGTATGCTGGGCTCCCCATATAACACTCTCAGATCTTTATTTGTCCTTCTGATCAAAACACTGTTTTCATTTTTTCTCTATTATTCATCTCTATTATCGTTTCCATATCCATATGTCCCCAGAAAAAGAAATCCATAGGAGCCAAATCGAAAGATTGCAGGCCATTTAATTTGGATTGTTCCGCTTATAATACGATCCTGAAAGATTGCGTTTAAATAATTTTTCACGATACGCGCATTATGAACTTAACAGCCATCCTGTTGGTACCAGACATCTTCTAAACGCACATCTAGGAGATTATGAATAGCTGTAATAATATTGTCTTGTAGAAGAGTAAGCTTTTAGCTGAATTCAGAACTTCCTCAATAAAAAATGGACCAATTATATGGTACCAAAATGCCGGTCCACACATTAAGTTTTTGAGGGCGTTAAGTCTGATGTACAATACTTCGATGTTCATGTTCCTAAAACCAATACCGCGTTCTGGAAGGATTGTGATGACGATCCGTACTGAAAATAACGATTCATCGGTGAAAAGGATATGTTTTATAAACTTATCATTTTTGTGAGATGCATTCATTGCAGCTTCACAAAACTCCATTCTACGAAATTGATCTCCGGGAAATAACTAATGAGTTTTCAACTATTTAAAACTCTTAAAGCCAGAATTTTTTAAAACTTAATTAACTGTGATATACGAGACCTCCCAACTTCTCGGTGACACTTCTAGTGCTTCTGTAGTTAACCACCTCAATGCTAGCACAAATACTCTTATCTCTCCTTTCGATTTCCTACTGTCATTCCGGGGACATCTCTTTTCTTTTGTAACATTTTGTACAATCTTGCAAACTTCTTCTTCTTGTAGTGCCTATCTACTGCTCTGAAAAGATTTGTGGTTTTTGTGTTAAACACGTACGTAGATTGTTCAGCCAGGAAATTTTTCCTTCCTAGTCCTGATTTTCCTTCTACTTTTCCTTGTAGAATGAATTGCAGCAACCCATATCTTACGCTGTTCCTCATGATTTGACCGAGGTAAACAATGTGTTTCAAAACTATTTACAATATTTGCAACTGTTTGTCTACAAGGTATGGGCCTATTATAGAAAGCATTAGCAAATAGATCTATACATTCTGACAAAGACTTGCCTTGATAATACCATTTAATTATTTAAACCTTTTCTGGAGAAGTGTAAATAAACATTTAAAACGATACTCTTCGCTTCATGGTTTCAATTGAAAATAAATGCGTAAAGTCAACAGATTATGATTTGTTCCGATTGGCACCGAAGGTGCTGATTATCAAGTCATCAATCATATTGTAGGCTATCGTTGCGTGTGGTCGGATATTGGCATAGACTCGAGAAAGCACAGTTGCCATACTTACTTCAATGTATATTACCTATGTCCAGCCGAAAGATCTACGTACTGTATTATTATTTGTTTGAACTGTTATACAGGGTATTTCAAAAAGGTATATCATAAATTAAATCACGCATCATAAATTAAATACAACACTTTGAATTTCCAAAATAAAAATTGTTTTTTTGCATTATCTCCTAAACTACTCGACATTTTTTAATAAAAATAGACACGTTACCCAAAACTCTTGAGTATGTTCAAATCAAATGAATTTGTGGCATCATTAGTTTAACACATTATTTTTAAAACTTTTTTGCCTCCTATCACTTTTTCGAAAAACTAGTTTTTTCCTAGTTGGCCATGAAATTACAATTAGTTTCTACAGATACAATAATTACAGACAGTTGCATCAATAATAGTCAATAATTTGAAGCTATCATTTATTATGTGAATAAGATTAATATTAAGAATTTTGATATTACAATGGCCTACACATTCAGGAAATGGCAGATATGAACTTAACTTTGGGTAAGTTGGATCACATGAAATTATGATTTCAATAAACTATCGGGAATATCGTAGGTGAATGTCAAGCGTTATGCAGTAAAATACCCCAATCGAAATACACCCGATAAACGATAATTTCTGACCATTGATCGTCGTTTACGGGAAACAGGTACATTCCAACCGCAAGTTGCTGGCAATAGTGGTCGTCCAATAATGAGTACAACTGATGAAGACATTTTATAAATCATTGAAGAAGTCCCTGGAACACATACAAGGGTAATAGCTGCTCAACTAAATGTTCCTCACGTAAGGGTTTGGAGGCGTTTGAAGGATCAGTGGCTTAAACCCTATCACTTAACAACGGTTAAAGATATAATGGTTGAAGATTATCCTAAAAGGATTGTATTTTGAGATTGGTTGTTAATGGAAAACACTCGAAATGTTAATTTTATTAGAAATCTTTTGTTTACCGACGAGGCTACCTTCAGTAGAAATGGAATAACAAACAATCATAACGAGCACATTTGGGCCGACGAAAATCCTCAAGGAAAAAAAAAACGACTGATCACCAAAGAACTTTCAAAGTTAATGTTTGGGCAGAAATTGTGGATAACAATTTAATAGGCCCAGTATTTCTTCCCAACAATTTGCAGTTTTTGGCAAACGGTTTACAAGAGTATTTGGAAGAAGTGAATATTGCAATAAGGCAAAATATGTGGTTTCTACAAGATGGCGCTCCACCGCATTGCAGTAATAAAGTCCGGGAATACCTTTGCAGGCAGTATCCTGATCGATGGATTGGAAGGGATCGTGACGCACCTATTCCTTTGCCACCCAGAAGTCCAGGTATTAACCCCATGGACTTTTGCTTTTGGGGGTTTATGAAAGAGAAAGTGTATTCTGTAACAATAGAGGACGAACTACAATTGAGGGTTAGAATAATTGAAGCTTCAAATCAATTTCGTCAGAAAATATGATTTTTCAGCGCATTCGGTTTTCCTTATTAAAACGATACCGAATGTGTATTGAAGAAAATGGGGGTCATTTTGAACATTCATTGTATCACATTTTTTGTACTTGTTAATTCATTTATGCCATTTATTTAGTTGCACGTAATTTTTTAAAGGTTAATGAAAATTGCCGTAACTCAATAAAAATTCTTTTTTGAAAAAAGAGGCAAAATTTTTTTAAAAATAATGTGTTAAACTAATGATGCCACAAAATTCATTTGATTTGAACGTACTCAAAAGTTTGCGGGGATTTAGGGCTGCACATCCCCCTTAAATTGTTCTGTGCGCTTAAATTTTGTTGTTCCTTTTGCAACAAGAAAGTAACGTGTCCACTTTTATTACAAAATGTCAAGTGGTTTAGGAGATAATACAAGAAAACAATTTTAATTTTGTAACTTCAAAGGGCTGTAACTTTTTTTATGTACACTTTTGTACTAAGGTAAGTTGGATTAAATCAATTTATTTTTGTCCCCGGAATGCGTGATTTAATTTATGATATACCTTTTTGAAACACCCTGTATACTTTCCTCATACATATTCTTGGTCTGTTCATTCTAGTCTATTAATATATAGTCCCTTTTTTATGACTTTTTCTTCTAATTCTTTAGTTATCCGTATCACTGATATATAAGTCTATTTTATATAATTCTCTGTTTATATTGGTTTCCCGCAGCACGTTTTCCAGGAGGAGACCAAAGAGAATAGGTGAAAGTGGGTCACCTTGCCTTACTCTCTCATTTACTAGGAAATTGTCTGATATTTTATTATTTACTTTTACTTGGTTTTCTGTTCTTCGTAGAGTTAATTGCATCATCCTAATAATTTTTATGCTTATTTCTAGTTCTTAAAGTGATATATTTATACAATTCCTTCCTTGGTTACTTTATCAAATTCTTATCTCAGTATTTTAATAGTAATAAAATAAATTATTTACCTTGTGTGGGAGCTGATGAAGTTTCTTCTGATAAACTTTCAATCTCTTGGCGTGTTCTAAAAGGAAAAAAGTTGCAATAATATACAGAAATAAAAATATACAAAAAAATTTAAAGCGTCATTTCAAATATGCACTACTTTTTAGATAGTAAAAATATTACAGCAAGGCAAAAACGAATATGCATTTTTTGGTTCATCAAAAAACAATTGATTGTAAATATTTCTGGAAAACTGATTTGTAAAAACGTAATTTTTTTTATCAACTCCAATTTTAGAGATAGATAAAATTACATATTTCAAAAAATGTCCATTCATATTGCTAGAATAAACGTGTTTTGTTATAAATGTGGCAATTTCACATGAAAAGGGAATAGAAAACTAGTTTGTGAGTTTGTGAATAAGGCATATAAAATGCAAATTCGCCAGACACGACCAAAGGTAAGGATTAGACGTGACCTGGTATCGTTGTAACTTTTAAATAGCAGAGTGAAATATCAAAATTGGAAAACTGGGAATTGGTATTACTGTCAATATTTTATATATTCTTTTAGTCTAATAGAAGAAATGTCACTAATGAATATTAGTAGACCGAAAGCAAACAGTTCTTCGCCCTTGCGTTTTAAACTAGGATTACATTTTGTGAAGGTTTTTTAGATCAAAATGGTCTTGTACGTATGGGGTCGTTAAGTATTACCTAACGCAATTGGGGGAGGGGTCTTGTATAACGTTACGGTAGATTACAGAATCGGGAGGGGGGCGGGTTCGAAGAACGCGTTACGTAACATTGTTACAAAAACAGTAAGAAAAAAATAAAAGGAGGAATAATTAATGAATATCTGATAATATATAATTTACCTAAACTTCACAAAATCAATACCTGAAATTGAATCTAATGCATGGTTGTTTTTTGTTAAAGTTATAAACAATTTTTGAAATCTTAAAATTGTTACAAAAAGTTTCAGATTTGGTTAATAATGTAACAGGGCTATGTTACTGGCCTAACAAGCTGGAAAACCACGTGTGTAAAGGGGTAGTGAAGCACAATACATGATGTCGTATCCTGTTCGCATCACTTAGCCTCTCCTACTCAATTCCTATCTTCACCTCCAAGCTGGTACACACCGGTAACCTGAGCAACCCCACTGGAGACTGGGTAACCAACCCCAGTAGATGGTGGGGTCAGGGCAGACGAAGAAGGGAGCCTTGGTCCTCCGATGAAAAGGGGGTTGAGCGAAGGGTTAACAACCCTTCCTTGTAGAACTCAATTGTTGCGAATACAATGGCTAATGAAACAAACGGACGGATCTCACAACGACGAACTCAGCACAGAAAAATGGACATGATTATGGATTTAAAATTTGGAACGTGGAACGTGCGAACCTTCTTAAAGGCAGGAGCTATGATAAGTATGGCAGAAGAACTTGAAAAATACGGAGTTGAAATATTGGCACTGCAGAAAATCAGATGGAAGAGCCAGGGAGAAATTCATAAGAATAAATTCTCACTATACTACTCCGGAAATGAAATGAGATAAGGTGAAAGAGGAGTAGGGTTTATGGTAACCAAAAAACTGCGGAAAGCCATTATCGCATTTACACCAATATCAGATAGAATTTGCACCATAAGATTTAAAGGTAAATTTCATAACGTGACAATGGTTAATGTATATGCACCGACGGAAGAGGCTGATGAAGAACACGTTGAAAGATTCTACGGAGAACTACAGGATATATGTGATAAAATCCAAAGACACGATGCTGTTATAACGTTAGGCGATTTTAATGCTAAACTCGGAAAAGAAGAAACGTTTGCAAATATATTTGGGAAACACAGCTTGCACACTGAAACCAGTCAAAATGGACTCAGGGTGGCACAGTTCGCAGCAGCAAATAATTACGTAGTTGTCAGTACTAACTTCCAAAGAAGAGATATCCATAAAGGAACATGGAAAATACCAGGAACTAACGAAGCCAATCAAATTGACCATATACTCATCTCAAAAAGATGGGCAATAGACATAACCAATGTCAGAACGTATCGCGGGGCGAACTCTGACTCAGATCACTATCTTGTAGGGGCAAAATTACGGCAGAAAATAGCGACAGTAGCAAAAGGGAAAAATATTCAAATCAAAAAATGAAATGTCGAAGGATTCAAAAGCGCAACAAAGAGACAAGATTACAGAAATACTCTCCAAATAAAACTCAACCGAACTAGAGAAGAAGATACTGCAGAGGAGGAATGGAGACAATTAAAAACAATTATAACGGAGTCAGCAGACGAAACGGTCGGAAAAGCCAAAAGGCAAAGAAATGCGGAATGGTATGATGATGAATGCAGAAGTGCAGTAGAGGAAAAAGGCAAGCTAGGCTTAACCAACTTCAAAGAAACGCAAGAAACAGCAGTGAGATTTATAATGAAAAAAGAATACAAGCGACTAGAATATGCAGAAGAAAGAAAAGAGAGGCTATGAAAAAACAAGTACAAGAAATCGTAAAGCATAACAACAGACGCGAAAGCAGAAAATTCTATAAATGCATAAAAGAAAGCACACAGTCATTTAGACCAAAACTAACGATATGCAAAAACAAGGACGGAGAACTACTAACAGAGAAGCAAAAAATTATAATGAGATGGAAACAATATTTCGAAGAAAATCTAAATGCAGACAACGAAAATGATCAGAACGGGACAATATATTATACGGCGGAGCTGCACATCGAAAATCCGAGTTATGAAGAAGAAGAAGAAGAAGAAGGAATTTCGGCAGAATTATTAAAGCATGGAGGATTGAAACTCTGGGAAAGAATCCATTATCTAATAACATTAATATGGACGAAGGAGCAAATGCCAGAGGAATGGACAGTTGGCCTCATACAGCCAATATATAAAAAAGGAGATAAGAGGGAATGCCAGAATTATAGGCCAATTACATTGCTAAATGTAATATACAAAATTCTTTCTGGTATAATCTACAATAGATTATTAGAATACTCCGAAAATATAATTGGTGATTATCAAAATGGATTCAGACCAAATAGAGCCACTACAGATAACATATTCATACTAACAACGATACAAGAAAAAGCTTATGAATACGACATAGCCTATATAATATGTATATAGACTTTAAACAAGCTTTTGATAGTGTGAAAAGAGACAGAATGCTGGAAGACTTTTGTAATCTAGGTATACCTAAGAAATACATCAGCCTCATAAAAATGACGTTGCAGGGTTCAAAAGCCGCAGTCAGAGTAGATGGAGAACTGACTCCCCTGTTTAACATCAACATGGGAGTAAGACAGGGAGATGCCCTATCAACCATGCTATTCAACCCAGTTCTTGAGGCAGTCATCAGAAAAACCAATATAACCGGCCATATAAACACCAAATCAGTACAAATTACTGCATATGCCGACGATGTAGCCATCATTAGTAGGAATAAGTCACGACTAATGGAAGTGTTCAAACAAATCGATCCTGAAGCAAGAAAAAGAGGTCTCAAAATAAACGAAGCAAAAACGAAGTATATGACAGTCAAAAGAATAACTGACAATGAAAATAATATCACAATAGACAACTATACTATCGAACGAGTGGATGCCTTTACATATCTCGACACAGAAATCAATCAGAAGAACTCCGTAAGTAGCGAAATTATTGCACGTATTTTCAGCGGGAATCGTACATACTATGCTAATAAAAGTTTGATGACATCGAAATTATTAGACAAAAGAACCAAAATGACTATCTACTGAACACTGATTAGACCCGTAGGAACCTATGGATGTGAAACTTGGGTAATGACGAAAAAAGATAAAGCCCAACTCAGGACATTCGAGAGAAAAATACCGAGGAAAGTATATGGCCCGGTACAAGAGGAAGATGGCACATGGAGAATCAGGAGAAACGACGAGGTTAATGAGTTAAATGTATGTTATGATATTGTAAGATTTGTGAAAAGTCAAAGACTGTCATGGCTGGGACAAGTGCAGAGACAAAACGATGCCAAAACAACAAAGAAAATGTTACAATGGAAGCCCATAGGAAGGCGAAAAAAATGAAGGCCCAGAACGAGACGGTTGGATGACGTGGAAGACGACCTGAAAACAATGAACATAAGACAATGGAGAAGAAAGGCACAAGAGAGATCCGAATGGAAGGACATAGCCAGACAGGCAAAGACCCATCCAGGGTTATGATGCCAAAAGAAGAAGAAGAAGAATTAATGAATATCTGATAATATATACTTTACCTAAACTTCACATAATCGATACCTGAAATTGAATCTAATCCATGGTTGTTTTTTGTTAAAGTTATAAACAATTTTTGAAATCTTAAAATTGTTACAAAAAGTGGTAGATTTGGTTAATAATGTAACAGGGCTATGTTACTGGCCTAACAAGCTGGAAAACCAGGATTCGTTTTCTGACAGTGACGCCAAGAAATTTTTCTAATATCTAATTTACTGAACCGTCACGTAAAGCCGTCGGTCCCGACTACTAAGTAATCGTTAATCGTGTTAGGAGCGCTTCCGCGACCTGAAAACACTAAACACAAGCCAGAAGGTTACAAGAACTTCAATTTTTTTATTTGTTTGTTTTTATAGGTTGTATCAAAATAACATTTATATGGGGGAAGAAGACTAACTAAATACAAAATGTGATTACATCTTCTACAACTTGACTAATAACGAAAATCTCATGGTATTTTTGGATTCAGAATACCAAAATTATTTAAAAACAGATAAAAAAGCCCGTCACCAAAATATGTGTCGAACGGTTTAATTAATAATTAATTTCTTAACTCACTTTAGGAATACATCTTCTAAAGTCGTTATCGTTATCGATATATTAATAAGGTGTAGATCGGATCGTTTGTCTTCCAAATTTTCAAGAAGTTTCGTCATGTTGGTATTTTGATAGGGTAAAACAAAGACCAAGTTGTTTCCATTATTTGACGTCAAATGTGCATCGGGCATAAAAGTCTTAATAAATCTACTAATAGCATCTATATCTGCGTCTTCTTCAATCATTAAGGATAAGTGGTAACCTGTATCTGTAACAATGCGAGCATTTTTTATTTAAAGCAAAGTTCATAAATAATTGGAATTACATAAAAATATTTTTATGTTCATTAACCAGTTACTTTTCTTAAAGTTACTCGTAAATAGCGCCACATATGCTATATTGAACAAACGTGATGAGCGATAATGTTTTGACACTCATTAATTAACAACGTAAATGTTGTATTGATTTAATTTTTATCAAATGCAATCCATCTCCGCCAAATTCGATATGAAAAGAAGTCATTTGAATTATCAAGTTGGTATAAAATCGTTCACAAAATTCCGCCAAACAGGAAGACAGAAGCACATTAATTAAAACGTGTTAAAAGACTTGATAATCTGGAAACAGAAATACAGATAATAAAAAAACGGTCATAGAAAAAAGAGCATCTATAGAAAACCTACAAATAACCACTGAACCATCAATATAAATCAAGTAAAACTTTTATTAATATAAAGAAGCCTATTATAAAGAACTAAAAAAAGTAACAAAGGAAATAAAAACGGGAAATGAACTTTTAATCATCAAAAACTACAACAGCTTCTTATTTGAGTGATTTAATAAATAAATAAAAACACACATGACATGATCCAAGTTTAATTTCTATTAAAATCAAATGTAATTACTTACTGTATTTCTTTTTCAAAAACATGGGAGTACCATAACAGTTTAGACTACCGTCAGACATTATTGCTATCCAGTCTCCTAGTGCATCTGCTTCTTCCATAAAGTGGGTGGTAATAAGTATTGTTTTCTCTCCTCTCCATGCTAACAATAGATCCCAAAGTTCCCTTCTAGATTGGGGATCCATCCCCGAAGAAGGTTCATCCAAAATTAGTACCTATTCAATAAATGCATGCCAGGTTAAAAGTCATGTCATATTTTATACATATAGTTTACTATCCGATTTATTTTAACTATTACTAATAAATCAAATCTCTTATATTAATAATCCATTACAAATACAATACAAAAGCATTGCCATATTATTCATGTGTTGAAAAATCCCAAATTTTATAATATTTTCGTATTAAAGATCGAACCACGATGGCAAAAATTTTTCTAAATAAATGGCAAATTATTTATTATGGATAATAAACCACAGTAGTTGCAAAACAAATTATTGACTTAAAGTTCAGGTGTCCAGATTGCAAGTAGTTTTCAAAATACTATTTTGAGCCAAATTACTTTTTTGGGCAGTTGTCAATCGATCCTCTAATCAGCATGCAAAAAAAAGCTTTTCTGTACAAAGATCTAATTTAGTCACTCCTTACTCAAGGATATAATATCCTGTTACGTCAAGATCAATCTTGATCCTACCCTTAAAGTCGAACGCGAAATGTCTTCCACCACCAAGCAGTCAAATATAAACAAAAAGGAAGGCTACTTCGTATCTCCCAACTTGAACCCAACTCTTTACAGTACGTCCGAACAAAAACAGACCAACAGCCAACATCTAAACGTGCCTAGCGGTAACCCCCACCATCTGAAAGAACACGTCAATAGTCGACAAACGGAAACAGTACGATCAGCTATAAACAGTCGTTCCATGTAGTTTCTGCATGCAATGACCGGACGCGGATTCATGTTAAACGCACTTTCAAAACCCCGAAAATTACTATGCATAGGTAACCGTGTGACGGTCATACGTCATTTTATATCATCAGCTGACCAACGATATATGCTGACTGTCAACAGGATGTAAGCAAGCATGCGCTTGTGGAAAGTTACTGTAATATGATGAGTGATAGTCTTTTTTTGCAATGACATTTTATAATAAGAAAATATCTTTGTGTTATTGACGGATCGGTAACACCTGACGATTCTTCTGTAATATTTTTCAATAAAACTATTTATTTTGCCATCACTTTTCATTTTTCCAACAAACCTTCAACCTTATTTATGAACATTATGTCTAATTCACAACTAGTCAATATACTTTTTCGAATTTAAAAATAAATTGAATATTATAGAGGATTCGTCATTTGCTGCATTGCCAGATGTATCAGCCGAAAGTTGTATATTTCGTAATTTGCATAATTTCTTAAAATTCCAACCCTGTATATGTATAAGATATTATGTTATATTAATTTCATAAATACAGTTTGCTTACCTTTGAATCACCGATAAGGGCCATTGCCAAGCACAGCTTTCTTTGCATACCACCTGAGAGTGTATGCGCCATGGAATTCTCTTTATCGGGCATATTTAATTTTGCCAACAAACTTTTTGCTTCTTCGTTAGCTTCTTTTGTAGTTTTTCCTTTCAGCTAAAATATGCGTGAAGAAAAATATTTCAAAAAGAGTAATAAAACATTCAAACAGGATTTATTAATTTGCAAAAAAAAAACAATATTTAAGTATTAAATTATTATTAATTATTAAACACACGATGTACAAAACTTCCGTGGTGGATGGTACTCCCTTGTCAGAGTTTTTTTTTCAAGCAGTTTTCAAACGTCGTTGGCTTGATAAACTTGGACTTCACGATATAACCAAGTTTCCTCCTTTCCAATGGTAAGAAGTAAACGTGATTACGCTACATAGCACCATCTACTTTGGATGACAAAAAATGGCTACCACTGCCTTTGTCTTAACTATGTAGCAACCACTAAAATACTTGAAAGATAACTTATCTTCCTAACCCCCTCTGTGGCTCAGTGGTAAGAGCGCCTACCTTTAAATCTAAAGCTCGTGAGTTCGAATCTCATCTGGGTGGAAATTTTCGTTTATTAAAAATTAATAGATGAAAATAATTTCTATCCTTGTGCGATCGGTACTCACCAGAGGGACCGCAGACGTTCGGATACAATTAGCGTCTCTTAGCAAAGACAATGACGACGATTTTGCTAAGTATCAACACAATTACTCTACACACACACACACACACACACACACACACACACACACACACACACTACACCTAGGTACCTGACTGTACCATGCCAATGATCATAGTTGTCGCGGCATTAACCCAATAAAAAAAAACAACTTATTAGAAATAAATTTCTGTAATTCGTTTTATAGGGGACGACCTATTTTGGATGAGGAGGTATGAATGCGTGTCTTCCTTTTTTATCTTTTATTTTCTTTGTAAAAGTGTAAGCATTCGCTCAGAATATCCTTTAGAAATAACATCAGTTACATCTCATACCTAGAGAGAAGTAGTCAAGATGTCCAAAACTTTACGGCCCAACCAATATGCATAAGGCAGGATTACCATTGCGACCAATAGTTAGTTCTATCGGATCTCCTCTACAACCACTAGCAAAATTTCTGGCTGAACCATATGCAGAAGAAGCGGATTCTTACGTCAAGAATGCAAGCCACTTCATCGAATGTATAAAAGATGTGACTCTTACTTACTTATACATTTATAATCTGGACATATCGAGAAAAAAAAACTTATTTTTAGAACACATCAATAGTATACACCATAAAATCCAGTTTACTATGGAACTGGAAGAAAACGAACAACTACCATTTTTAGATGTGTTAATAATAAAGAAGGAAGACGGGCACATAGGACACACAGTATACCGACAACCCACACATACCGACAGATACCTACATGCCGATTCACATCACCATCCTGCACAATTACATTCAGTCATTAAAACCCTGATGACACAATTCAAAAGACTGACAGATGAAGAACATAAATATAAAGAAATGCATAATGTAAAAACAGCGCTAAGAAAAAACGGCTTTTTAACATATACCATTGAAAACGCTCATAATGGTCAAAAAAGAATCCAACAGAAGAGGCAAAACCGATTGTAAAAGCGATTCTACCATTTGTAAAGGGTACAACAGAGAAAATAGGGAAAGTGCTAAGAAAACACAAAATAGAAACGATATTTAATACCGACAGAAAAAACTCAACCATTTTACCATCCGCCAAAACAAAAATATCGTTAGAAAATCAAGGAGTATACGAGATTCCATGTGGGAACTGTGACAAATCGTACATCGGACAGACCAACCGAAGAATCAATGCTAGACCAGAAGAACATCGAAAGGAGAGAAAAAACCCTCAACATGTCTTTGCCGCCCGCGTTGATCTACACAGAAGTAGTACACGCATAAGAACAATTTCAACTAAGAGATCATTTTCTAAAAAAAATATCATATAATAAGTAGGTTATAGAGCAGTACAGTTATAAGCCATAAGATAGTGACACCAAGATTTATATTATTATAGAAACTAATTGAATTTCCAGGTTAAATCACATTGGATACAGTTGTGTAGAATGTTCAATTCAACCTTGAAGCCACTTTCTAGGCTTGAACTGTTTAGGGGGCACAACTCTGCAGCTAAGTTGTATTCTTACATATTTTATTTAATGTAACCAAAGAAAATGTTTACCTTGGCGAAAAATAAGAGATGTTCTTTAACTGTCAAATCGGTAAAGAGAAGATTATGTTGGGGACATAGACCCAAACTCTTTCTGATTTCGTCCATGTCAGAATTAATATCCAATCCATTTATTTTTACTGAACCAGACGTAGCTGGAACCAGTCCTAAAAATAAAATGTAAATTACTGTGATGTGTGTATGACGCTTTATGAGAAAATATATTCAATATTAAATATTTCATAATTTTCACTGCAAAATTAGACACAGTTGTTGCTGAAATCAAAAGTAAAAATAAAATAAATTTATCAAGGAGCGTAAAGGCTTAAAAATTTTGATTAAAAATAAATAAATTATCTGTCCCATATACAACACTACCCTGCTGTGTTCTGCATTTCGTCTTCAGTAGCAAAAAGAAAGACACCCAGTCCCTTGCATTCACAGGAATTTATTATGAGACAGGTTACGTCCATCTCGAGATTTATATCTTCTAAATTTCTGAACGACGTAAGTTCAGAACCGGAGCGAATCTATAACACAGTTATTATTTAAGCAGTCCCATAAACATATTGAATATAAACTAGGAGGAAGAGGGATACACGCTTATATATATATATATATATATATATATATATATATATATATATATATATATATATATATATATATATATATATAAACAACAAAGTTTATTGGGGCTGCAGTCAGAAGTTTGGCCGGGATGTTACAGAAACACTCTTTTGACTTTTGGTCTAGCTTTCGGAATTGTTTAATTCCTTTATCAAGACACTGTAATTAGAAAAATGTGTAAATATTTACAATATATCACAAAATATCAGTGTACTTACTAGTCGTTGAGATTATTTGTACGAAGCTATGACACTCAACATTAATAACAAACATATACACTAAAACTTATACAATAATTAATACAACAATACATTTTAAAATTTAGTTAAAAATAATAAAAGTTCTAAAAAGTTTGTTTTCTACATCTTCTTGGTGTTGTGTTTTAACTAACCCATAGAGAATAAAAAAAACAAAAATAAAAATAGTATGATTAAAAATTCATTAGGAGTTCTTCATATGTTATTAATAGAAGGTAATGTATTAAACCTGTGTTGATGGTATGCAACCTGTTTAGCATGCAGGTGTATTATGGTGTGTATATGTACCAGTAAGTCTTTGTGTCATTTTTGATGTGTAGTCAGTAAATAACAATAAATATTACTCAATTTATCTATATCGGACTTCTTATTTATACAAGAGGCACTGGACTTTATTAAACACATTTCCAGGAAAACACGTTTAGAATGGTTATTTTCCCTTGCCAGAATACAGGAATCCTCGAAATTAAATTCATGTTTTAAACTTAATGCATGTTCTGTCAACGCGCATGCGTTAATTTTTTTGGTTTTTATGTCGCTGCGATGTGAGATCACCCTACTGTGAAAATTACGAGATGTTTCACCAATGTACACGTTTTTGCAATTAGCACACGGTATAGAATAAACAACATTCGATGATTCCTGTATTGTGAAAGGATCCTTTGTCTTTGTGTACAACTTCGATACCGTTTTCACATTTTTAGTTGCAATTTTTAAGCCACTAACATTTTTGAAAATGTTCATTATCTTAGGGGTTAGGACTGGAATATAGACCAAAAATAGAAAGAAAGAAAGAAAAATAGAAAGCTAGACCAAAAGTCAAAAGAGTGTTTCTGTAACATCCCGGCCAAACTTCTGACTGCAGCCCCAATAAACTTTGTTGTTTGTTTAAATTGACAGTCACGAATATCCAGTATTCATTATATATATATATATATATATATATATATATATATATATATATATATATATATTAGTAGATTTTCTTGGGCTTAGGTTTATAAAAAATATTGTCATGATAGTAAAACATTTTTATTTACTTTTTTCTACGTTTCGGCAGGAAATCCATGCGTTTTTCAAGAAATAATATTCACTAAAAAACATTTTATCAAAGACATTATAAGGTTTAAAAGAGAAACTTTTGACTTACCAAGCATATAAAAGTTCGTTGCTAACAAGTATACATTAAACGTTACAATTAAAATACATGAATAATAATAAAAGCATAGGGCAGACCCACTAAGTCACTACATGTAAAATGTATTTTAAAATGCTTGGTAAGTCACATTTTACATGCTTGGTAAGTCAAAAGTTCTTCTAGGTTCTCTCCTAAACCTTATAATATATGTCTTTGATAAAATGTTTTTTAGTCAATATTATTTCTTGAAAAAGGCATGGATTTCCTGTCGAAACATAGAAAAAAGTAAATAAAAATGTCGTAGTATCATGACAATCTTTTTTATGAACCTAACCCCAAGAAAATGTACTAAAAAATATATATTAAGGTTCAAGAACTAAACCCAAATGTATAACTATACAATATATATATATATATATATATATATTATATATATATATATATATATAATATATATATATATAATTTATAAATATATATATATATATATATATATATATTTATATATATATTTATATATATAATATATAAAAAAATTCAAGATTGAAACAAGTTTGTTGTACTTCAAGCACCATCAAGAAGCGTTACTACCTGACTTGACGAACGGCAAGTTTGCCCTTGCCGAACGTCGTCATAATAATGGTTTTTCTCAAAACCAAAATTATTCAATGCAGAGTCAAACCCAAAAAACCACAGAGAGCACATATAGCTCCCGCGGAAAAGGCGAGGGTGACCTGCAATTTCTGTGTAAGTTTGCCTTTTTACTTTTCTAGGACTAGGTTACAGCCATTCTAGGATTGGTTTTCGGCCAATCTAATGCTAGTTTCGCGGTAATTACCGCTCATCAGCTAGAGATAGGTTTCAAACTAACTCGAATGCAGAAAGTTTGGTCACCTACCCATGTTTACCATTATACAGTGAATGTATAAATCTAATCTTCCTATTATCATTATTCGTTCTTTCTCAATGTTAAACCTAAAATTAAGATTAATATTATTACAAAAATTAATATTAACCTCACCAGGCTGCCGGGTTGAACCGCATCGATTTTCACTGCGCCGAGCTTTCAAGATCCTCTCTGATGTGTTGATGTTGATGAACAGTGTAGTGTGTGGGGCTCAGGAAACTGAGATCCCAGAATCCCTAAAGAAGACATCAGAGAGGATGTAGAAAGCTGGAGCAGTGAAAATTGACGCGGCTTAACCCGGAATCCTCTGGAGTTTATATATAAAATAAGATATGATTCACTGAACTAAAGCTTGTAGTTACATGAGATTTAATAATGTAAGATAATAACAGTGTAAATGAAACAGAGATAATTCAATGTATTAGGAATATTGATACATTTTAAAACTACATATGTAAATAAATTACCTGTTATTATTGACATAGTGGTTGACTTTCCTGCTCCGTTATGACCAAGAAGTACAGTAATTTGATTTTTATAAATGTCCAAATTCAGGTTATTGACAGCTTGTTTTTGTTTATACCTTTTGTGGAGATGGTTAACTTGAATACCCTTAGCTAAATTGTGACCTGCTTCAATCTTCTCCAAAGGAACTGTTTCAGAATCTACTGGAACCGTGGTAATAGATGGTTTTCTACAGAACTGTAAAATTTCGTTGAAGTTAATAATCAATTTAAGACTTCTTATTTTTATATTATTAATCTTATACAATCTTATACAAGAATACGAGATTTGTATTGACACATCCACATTAAAGTTAGTTTTATTAGCCTACATTGTCATAAACAAAATGATACCAAAACTATTAATAAAGCATTTAAGAACATAAGTGATATTAAATAAATACCAAAATTCAGTAATATTTTTATTATCTGGTTTATTCTATTTAGACAACCAACTGGCCATATTTCCATGAAACACTTGTGCTGTAAATAGTGTCCTGTCGAAATTAAAATATTATATGCCTGTATTTGAAGTTAATCCTTAAGCACAATTCCATGATGTTATGCTAGCAAACTCTCAGTATTTTTAACATTAAATTCAATCAGTGAATGGTCCCATTTCTCAGTTACAATTGGTGTACATGTTTCCCAGGCTATTCAGTTAAATATGTTAAAGATATGATAGTCCGAAGAATAAGATTAATAATTCCAGTTTTGAAAGACTCTGAACGATTTAAATAAAGAATATTTACACAAAAAAAGATCAAATACACACTAGACTAGAAGTATGACAAGAAGAAAGGTAGCAACTTTAGCTATTATCCATGAAAAAGTTATAAACTGTAATATATTGGGCATATCCTCCTGAAGAACATCTAGGAGTTACTGAATGGTATGTACTAACCTTGAGGTAGTTTTTTAATCGAATATTTTAGAATTATTCATTGTTTTTTTTTTTAATAAATACTTGTTTATGTTCTTGTACCATGTTTTTTGTTCTTGTTTTTCGAATAAGTTTTAAATATATTTTAATTTTTATTTAAACGTAACCTGTATACGCACATGATGTTAGACTGTTACAAATGTATGCTTTAATAATTTATCATAGTCAGTGTATATAAATGTAGTTTTGAGTGCTCTCTATAAATAATATACCTTTAAATTTTTGTACATTCTGCAATATATTGGCAGGCAAGTATGGTTGCCAACAAATTATTGCAGAAAACCACATCTTAAGCTTATTACAAAGTCATTTGTATTTGAGTTGTGTCGTTAAGTTTCGAGAGATATGTATCTACCATAATTATAGACCAAAACAAAGGACTATTTATTTATGGTTATGTCTGCTAAATGTTTTTGTTAGTAATGGTATCAAATAGAAGCGACTTCATAATTACCCGCAGATAACAAATTCTAGAATAATTTAGTGGCCACTGTACAACCACGTTTTCAAAGATTGCTGAAACTAATATTGTTACTTTGTTTTATAATTATATTTTGAACGTGGTTCTCTACGGAAAATGCAATATAACATAATAATAACAAAAATACAAATATATATATATATATATATATATATATATATATATATATATATATATATATATATATATATAACAAGTTGCAAAAATTAGATTTCATAAATTCAACTTGCAGTTTAATTCCATATAATAACAGACCAAAAATAGTATAAACATTTAAACATATAACCACGAATATTTTGGTAAATTTCAAAAATAAAGATACAAAAAGTTTACCTTCATTAAATTTTGAACCGGGAATAATACACTCTTTCGGACTCCGTATTTTCCAGGATTAACTCCATCCATATAAAATGTAAAAAGGGTGAAGATAACAGTATCGAATACTAACATTGCATAAACGTTCAACATGGTGATATCATCTGATGATCCACTACCAGGCTTGAAGAAATTTGTCCAATTGATGCCGACTTCTAAAATTTAAAAACATAATTTAGATTTCTATCATTTTGTATTTGCAAAAAACATAAATAATTCACTTTTCTTTTCAAACAATGTGATGAACGGGAAAACTTTGGAATAAAATAATTATTAATTACAAAAGCTTTTATTTTAGGTCTCTACATGGATTTTGATATTACACTGGGAGGATAAAAAGAAGATAAGAAAAAACATCTTATTACTTGATGATACTTATAAAGCAGATACGACAACCCAACGAAGGCAGAGGAAACATACAACCAGCCTGTAAGGTTAAATATTAACGGTTCTTGCTGAAGCCTGAAGTAAACTGGCTGTTCTGCTCGAACTCAGTTTATTTTTTGGATAAGTAAGGATTCTTTATTTCTTAAAATATTAACGTGATTTGTTCCTGTTTAGGACCCTTAGCGAAGCATCTTAAAGGCTATTGAGATGGAGCCGCTCTTATCGAATTAGAGGTGAGAGGTTCTGACTGGATTTGATGTTCTTTCCAGATGTGTATTGCGTGTGTTTTAGGTCTAAGTGTGACATAGGCTATGTTTCTAGTTACTATTGTTTCTGCAAGCCGTTTTTACGTCTACGTCAAACTTCATAACTAGTGTATTGCACTATAATTATATTATTGGACGTTTGCGATAATGGCCAGGCCTCGTCAGCTTTCGAGGGACAACTCTGCCATAAATAGGCATGTGTGCGTGTGATGACATGACAGAGATGGAAGCTCCATTTCGATGTTACTTCAGCTAGTTCCATCAGCCATTATAACGTCTTCAGCAGACTCCAGAATTTGTGCGATGCATAGGGGTTCTGTCGTCGTCTGACTGCGCCAACGACGTGGTTACATTCGGTATCAAGAAATAGGACCCCTTTCACTGTCATGCCAGAGTGTGTTTTTAAGTGTATGATTGTTTTTGAGTACGAATGTGTAGTGTGCTGACTTGACAAAGACGAAAACTGTGTTCTCTCGTTTTAAGTCTACGATCATCTTCAGAACTAGTGTATTGCACTATAATTATTGTTATCAATCGTTTGCATTAAGGGCCAGGCCTCGCCGGAATTTGGTAGACTCAATCAGTGTCAAGTCAATTGAGAAAATAGTTGCGGCCATTTTCTCGAGAGACGGACAGATATCGTTGTGTAGTGAGAATGGGAAACCGCAAAAAACTAATATCCCCCTGTTCGGGGTAGGGAAAAGGATTGGGTTATAAATAGTTTCAGTAAGCTAGTGTAGTAGCTTCGAGGATGATTTTTTAAAATTTCTATTGCTTTTCTGTTAATTTCAATGTAAGACCCCTTTCAGACGAGGATACTGTATGTGAGATACTGTATGCGAGATACAGAATTTGTGTCTGAAAGCGTTCATTTAACGTAATATTTCTTCTGTATCTGGCATACGCATTCGGTATCTCGCATACTGTATTCCGTCGCGCGTCCCGTGTGAAAAGCTCCATTTGAGTCTATGCAATATCTGCGTCTCGGATACGCGTATCTCGGATACAGTATCCTCGTCTGAAAGGCGTCTTAGTTCTATATATTTTGAGATTAAATTTGTTCCACCGTTAGACTAGGTTAGGTTAGATAGTGTGGATCATTGACACACCATATATTATGTCCAAATGGAACTATACCGACACCAAGGTTTAAGATACTACGCCCTCTCTATCAGGAGTAATCTGCGACTTTGGTGACATCTACATATTCCCAGTGGTACCCAGTTTCAAGAATCTAGCACTTATCTTCAAGAGTTACTGAACGGACAGACATATAGATAGACCGATAGACAACGAAACAATTCCAACAAGAACCTGTGGAGTTCTTAATAATGCATAATAATGAGTACACGTATAATCGAGAAATAAATTCACCCAATTACCAACGCCTAAAAATCATATCTATAAAATTTTGTATAGTCACATATTAGTTCAGAAAAAAAAACTATTCTGATATATCTATGTATAATGATTGATGTGTGTTGAAATCTTATCAGCTCTAACCAAATAAATTAGCAATACAAAATTTCCAACGAGATATTTGTTTAGAATAATATCAGAACCAATATTTAAAATAAAAATATAATAAACATTGTATATAAGAAATATATTTTCAAATTAAGGCTGTTACGTTGGAAGACGTTTTTAAAATATAGAGCCATCGAGAAAAATTGTAATTAATATAGATTGTGCATTTTAAACTTAAATGACGATTGTTGGAATTTCAACCATTTTTCAAATAATAAACGTCAGTGCATGACATTTATGTCATTATCGTTATCAATATGCTGTTTATAACAAAGACATTATACAGTGCTAGCCAAAAGTCCCATCCCCTTCATATATTTTGAACGGTTATACTTATAATAGTGAAATTTGGAGTGAGAAAATAAAAGAAACGTAGGCTTCTCAACTAGTCATAACAAGTGACTTAATAGTCATAGATGACGATTAAGAGTCACCGTGACGATAATTTTAAATCGGACCTTATCAAAAGTGATATCCCGTTTAAAAGGTATTGAAGATACCTCTTCAAACATACTAATTTTGTTTGAGTGTAAGCTGATTTTGATGAATAAATTAAATAAATACTAAAATCGTAGTTTCAATAATGCATATACATGCATATACAATAATGCATCCTATTGCTAAACTCTTGTACTCGTTCAAATGTGTCGGAAGAAATTGCTTTACATTCTTCAACAATTCGTTGTTTCAAAATTTCAATACTGTAGCGTAAACCGTAGATTTAAAGTACCCCCACTGAAAAAATCTAATTGTGCGAGGTCAGGTGACTGAGCTGGCCATTCTATCAAACCTCGTCGTCCCATCCATCTACTACGATATTCCTCATCTAGGTAACGTATTACTCCACCATAATTGTGTACAAAAGCACCACTTTATTGAAACGTTAATTCCAAGTTGCCTAATTCATCTAGATTATCTTCCAGAATTTCAAGAATTAACGGCTAAAGTGCGTTTTGTAACATCTCCACATACACTTCAATGGTTAAGTTAGCATTGAGAAAAACAGGTCCAACTATGTGATTTCCCAAAACACCTGCCCAAACATTTACTCTTTCTGAAAATTATGTTTTTCAGGAAAGACGTAGAGGATTTGTGTCACTCCAATACCTCACACTGTGTGTGTTAACATTTCCATTGAGGAAAAAGGTACTTTCGTTGGTTAATTTGATTGGACATATTTACACAGAATTCTAGTATTCCGTAGGGGTCATCATCTGAAAGTTGGTGCACAATTTTTAATTTGTATAGATGAAATTTGTTTTTAGCCAACACTTGATTGATCCCACAGAAAGACGCAATCTGGGCTATCGAAGAAGTAGCGTTTACTACCATTTCTGCAATTATGTCAATTTTTTGTCATTGCTAATTTTGGTCAACCAGATTGTTTGGCATATTGAACACTACCTGTTTTTTCTAACTTCCGAAGAAACTCTCTCAGGTAAGTCCTTGTATATAGAGCGATTGGGGTGTCCCTCATTAAAAAGACGTTCCGCTGCCAGTTTGTCGGCTACGGTACGTACCATTTTGCTATGTAAACTTTTAAATGTCTTGTTAAACTTGAAAAAACTTGGCAAAGTAAAAACAACTAGAGAATTGAAAAACGTCAACTTTTTTGACATATAACCAGAGGCGGACGTTAGAATCCTTAAGTAATTAAATGCGAAACTATAATTTTAGTATTTATTTAATTTATTTATCAAAATCGGCTTAAACTCAAACAAAATTAGTATTATTGAATAGGTATGTTCAATACCTTTCAAACAAGATATCACTTGCCATAAGGTCCAATTTAAAATTCTCGATCACAGTGGCTCTGTGACGTCATCTATCACTATTATGTCACCTGTTATGACTAGTTAGGAAGCCTACGTCCGTGTTAGTTTTGGACAACAGGAAAAATGTATAAATAGACTGTTTCATCATGCAAATTGAAGGAACCATATTTCTTAAAGTTTTTCCTCTGTTTCTGCCTTTTTTGCAGAGGTGGGATACTTGGCGTGGTTATATAGATATATAAAATTAACATAAGACGAGAGAGAGGGTAAAATAAAATTCCGGCTAGAGAGAGATAAAGGAAATTAGTATCATAGACATATATAAAGACCACAAGTACGACTGACAGCCTACGTTTGCTATGATTAGTCGCCATCATCATCTGGTTTGATGAATTTTTTGAGGTTATGGATTTGCAAAGAAAGAAAAAAGACAGGCAAAGGGAATAATGATGATAATGATGAATGTACGAGAAATAAAAGTACTACGAAGAACATCTAAATAAAATATTACCTAACCAAAAAAATTAAAACAATAATACCTATATATTTAATTAAAATAGCATCACTAGGATATCAAAATAAAATAAAATAATACACACATACCGGATTTAAAGTTGGCAAACATTTTTTTGTACATATCACATAAGAAAAAATAATAACATATATAATAAAAAATAATTATATTTCTAATAAAACTGTAACAGCCAGCTTAATCCTAAAATATCTTACTATGAATACCTTATCTTACTACTAATTTTAATAAACATGAAACCCGCCAAATTTTAAATTGAGATACACCCACCGACCAACCACAGCAAACGTAGGCTGTTAATCTTACTGTGAGACTTGACATCAAGACGATAGAGAGAGAGAGAGAGAAATAAAATACCGAGCTAGAAAGAGATAGAGGAAATTGGTTGAGGGATTTTGTTGACATTAGAAACTGCCGACTTGCTAAGTTTTATAAAGGATCTTCCGTAATAAAATTTAGTTTTTGAATAAATGAAACTCCGTTACCCTACATGTTAAAATAAATTTAATTAAAAATTTAAAATCAAAAGACATGCGGATTTTAATGTTTAAATAAAATGTCTTTTAAATGTTGACCGTTTAGTTCCTGGCATTGCTCCATCTGGATCTTAAACTAGCACAAAACTCGTTGACACATATTCACTGGAATGTCCCCAATAGCGACTCGAA